TTTTGATCTTCCATATTTGATGGGACACAAAAAATAAACAATTGCGCAAAATCAAACAAAATTTTTTACAAATAAGCCTTAAAATGCTAGTTGTCAAAATATATAATGATAATACGATTTAGAATGAAAATGGCAGGAAAAAGACAACTAATCTGTCTAGTGGTAAAAAAACAAAATTACTTTCCAAACAACCCAATACATAGTGCATATATATATATATATATATAGTTTCATCTTGCACATATAATGAATAATAATTATTATTAATAATGATGCCATTGTTCAATGAAAGTATTGTGTAATAACAATCATGCAAGTTCAACCACCTGTAAGCATTTCATAGTGTAATTTTACAAATCATTTTGTAAATGGAACTATATTTCTATCCACGTAAGAGCTTGTTCTTATAAATGGAACAAAATTGGCATTATATTCAGCAAAGTACCTAAAACAATTCACTATTTAAAGTAAACAAAGTTTATATGGTTACAATAAAATAAAACAAATTTGTCAAAGGACCTTAATTGAATTCCAGGAAGATTTAATTCAAAATAAAATGTTTGGACTAAAGATATGCATGCCCTCCTTGACAAAGCTTCCATCATCAAGAGATCAAAACATTCAAACTCCGTCAGGATACTTGAAGTATTGGAGATATTCAAATTGAAAAAAGGGCCATTGCTTTAAAAGACAAACAACTATATTACACATGACAATCTCTATATGATCATGTGACTAACTATGACATCATAACAGATATATTATGAAGGAGAGTTTAATAAAAAAAAAAAAGGAAATTTTGTCAATACAATATCGGCAGTGTTAATTGTCAACTTTTCTACCTGAGAGAGTCTCGTGTTCTCAGTGCTGAAAGAGATGCTTTATCATGACCTTCTGGCCATATTTTGCCATTCTAAAATAACAAACAAATGGCTGATTCAGGCAGTTGTTGCCAGTTCCTCAACCACTAGTTTGCTTCCTCTCTGCTGATAGAGAAATATCATCTCCTCCGATAACACCTATCTTCAAACTGTCTCTTAGTGCCAAACTCTCAAGTGTCAATCATTCCATAAAGATGATCATCTCTTCTAACTCCAGGTATTTAGGGCAATCTAATATAATCTCTCCTCTCTCGTGAACGCTTCGGTGTCGCTGTAGTATTTAATATCTACTTGTCTCGCTACTGACAGTATTTAGATCATATAACATATAATAAATGGATATTTGTTTTTTTTAACTTGTCTCAGAGTGCTTTTCTTCCATAACGCTGTCTGATCAACCTCCATCCTGAGCCGACTGCCTATGCACGCAACTACTTGCATAATGAATTCAAACAAAAATAAACAGCCATTGCAGCTTCTGTGTCTGCAGATGTCCAGTGGTGTCATCCTGATGCAGCATCAAAGAGGTGCTGACCCTATGGTCACACTAGTGTCAGTAGTCGGATTTTGCATGCAAGTCACAAAATTATAACAATGTTCTCATTTATGTTTAAATAATTTGGTTGATTATATTTTAGTAAATATAACAAGTTTTTTATGTATTTCGAGAATTATTTCATAAATTTTTCCAAAAAGGTCATCATTCTATTCAAGCATTCCATCATCAAATATATGGCTGAAAAGACTAAATCTTACTGGAATTCAATTAAGACTCTTTGACAGATGTGTTTATTGCTGAATTATTCCAGTCTCCTAAATGGTATTGGAACTCCATTATATGGTTACCATGGAAATGTCACCAAACAGCAATTGTATCAGTACATTTATATTTAATTTTCATTGACACAGCAGTATAGTGCTCTTATAGGCCAAAACAAACTAACACACAGAAGAGTGCTCTTATAAGCGGGGCTAATTTACAGTTGGAGTGTGCCAGTTATGCCATATAAATATTGTAATTATATATTTAACCAGTCTTCAGACTTGGATTGTACTATGAGATAAATTGAAACAGAAGGAAAAGGTGTTCATATATCAACTCTTATTATATTTTTAATATTAAAACATTCATTTATTTATTGTTGTCTGTTCAAAAGAAAATAATTCATCTATTAATTTCATAAATACAGTATTGTAATAATTTCTGAAATTAACAAACAAAGACTACATAATAAAGTCTTTCTTTATCCTTTCTCACACCTCAGGAAAATAAGTCTTACGGCAAAGTTGATTAGAGGCTTCTTGTCTGCCTTACTATGTTACAGAACTTTCCTCTGGAGATGGCACAAATAAAAAATATAATATACATTTAATAAAACTGCCGGGACAGTAATTGTAAAATTAAACAAATGATTAACACATTAAGCATGTATTGCAAACGTGCAACACAAATTGAATATCTTACGCTTCTCTATCGTGACACTTAATGTGTTAAAGATTATTTATTTTCTTTCTTTCACAATCAGTTTTAGTAAAAAAAAAATTACTTGGATTATTTTTAGATACTATATTATTTAAAATGATAATCGAAAATCAAAATGTTCACATAATATATTAAGTTTGTGTGATATAAATTTTTTTTTTTTTATAGGATCAGTGATTATTGATCTATATTAAATTAATAGAAAAATAATTTTGAAAAATAACATTCAGTATTTTTTTAATATGTTCTCCTTATTTAACTACATGCAGCTCTCTGAGCAAAATTAACTAAATTTATTAACTTTATATTCATTATTATTATTATTCATTCTCACTTTTGTAATGTATAAAAAGTATAACATATAACAATTGAAACTTACGCTAACTCCAGAGTTCAAATATTGAGGACATCCATTTATTTCTTTTGCCGATTCGCCTTTATGTTCTACAAAAAACTGATTTCTCCAAGATTTTGGTTTCTTGTATAATAAATTTGCAAAAGACGTTCCGTCCATGTCGTTTGGTATTTTGATTCCGGCCAAATCCATAAATGTAGGAGCAAAATCGATGTTTAAAACAGGCTCCTTTTAAAATTTATAATTGAAACTATAAGTATATGCAATTATAAATTAAAGTTTATTAAATATTTTATTTAACAAATAAATACTAGTAGATGCCCTACTGTTCCTGTAAGATAAGAAGTCAAATAGAAAAAGTTAATTTGGAATTTAATGTTAAATTAAATTAAATCCACTTCAATTAAATAGAAATATATATATATATATATATATAGTTTCATCTTGCACATATAATGAATAATAATTATTATTAATAATGATGCCATTGTTCAATGAAAGTATTGTGTAATAACAATCATGCAAGTTCAACCACCTGTAAGCATTTCATAGTGTAATTTTACAAATCATTTTGTAAATGGAACTATATTTCTATCCACGTAAGAGCTTGTTCTTATAAATGGAACAAAATTGGCATTATATTCAGCAAAGTACCTAAAACAATTCACTATTTAAAGTAAACAAAGTTTATATGGTTACAATAAAATAAAACAAATTTGTCAAAGGACCTTAATTGAATTCCAGGAAGATTTAATTCAAAATAAAATGTTTGGACTAAAGATATGCATGCCCTCCTTGACAAAGCTTCCATCATCAAGAGATCAAAACATTCAAACTCCGTCAGGATACTTGAAGTATTGGAGATATTCAAATTGAAAAAAGGGCCATTGCTTTAAAAGACAAACAACTATATTACACATGACAATCTCTATATGATCATGTGACTAACTATGACATCATAACAGATATATTATGAAGGAGAGTTTAATAAAAAAAAAAAGGAAATTTTGTCAATACAATATCGGCAGTGTTAATTGTCAACTTTTCTACCTGAGAGAGTCTCGTGTTCTCAGTGCTGAAAGAGATGCTTTATCATGACCTTCTGGCCATATTTTGCCATTCTAAAATAACAAACAAATGGCAGATTCAGGCAGTTGTTGCCAGTTCCTCAACCACTAGTTTGCTTCCTCTCTGCTGATAGAGAAATATCTCCTCCGATAACACCTATCTTCAAACTGTCTCTTAGTGCCAAACTCTCAAGTGTCAATCATTCCATAAAGATGATCATCTCTTCTAACTCCAGGTATTTAGGGCAATCTAATATAATCTCTCCTCTCTCGTGAACGCTTCGGTGTCGCTGTAGTATTTAATATCTACTTGTCTCGCTACTGACAGTATTTAGATCAGATAACATATAATAAATGGATATTTGTTTTTTTTAACTTGTCTCAGAGTGCTTTTCTTCCATAACGCTGTCTGATCAACCTCCATCCTGAGCCGACTGCCTATGCACGCAACTACTTGCATAATGAATTCAAACAAAAATAAACAGCCATTGCAGCTTCTGTGTCTGCAGATGTCCAGTGGTGTCATCCTGATGCAGCATCAAAGAGGTGCTGACCCTATGGTCACACTAGTGTCAGTAGTCGGATTTTGCATGCAAGTCACAAAATTATAACAATGTTCTCATTTATGTTTAAATAATTTGGTTGATTATATTTTAGTAAATATAACAAGTTTTTTATGTATTTCGAGAATTATTTCATAAATTTTTCCAAAAAGGTCATCATTCTATTCAAGCATTCCATCATCAAATATATGGCTGAAAAGACTAAATCTTACTGGAATTCAATTAAGACTCTTTGACAGATGTGTTTATTGCTGAATTATTCCAGTCTCCTAAATGGTATTGGAACTCCATTATATGGTTACCATGGAAATGTCACCAAACAGCAATTGTATCAGTACATTTATATTTAATTTTCATTGACACAGCAGTATAGTGCTCTTATAGGCCAAAACAAACTAACACACAGAAGAGTGCTCTTATAAGCGGGGCTAATTTACAGTTGGAGTGTGCCAGTTATGCCATACTAACAGATAAAATAAAAAATATTGATATGTAGTACTGACAGTTGCTCAGTAAAAACAATTCTTTATGTTTAGTCACAAAAAATGTATACTGGCAGTAATTTTCTAAGAAGAAGCAATGCTTATAAACAAAGCAAGTGTTTCAAAATCCAAAACAAGCAAGTTTTGCATATAAGAGCATGCTCTTATTTGTGTGGAAATACAATGGGTAATCTTAAATAATGATGTTATAATCAACATTAATAACAAAGTTTGTACATTTGTTTTTTCATTGAATTTTATAAAAATTAATCTTGTATATAAAAATTCTGACATTAATTTTTAAAAAATCTTATTTTCTGACTTATTATTCATTTACCATTAACTCCAATTTAGATTTTATTCCCGGACCGCGAACGATGAGTGGCACTCTGATATCGAATTCATATAATTGACGTTTGTCTTCTGGAAGAGAAAACTGTCCTAAAAAATAATTTTATAAAATTTTATACGTTTATTTTTATGTTTAGCCTGCGAAAGAAGGGAAGGAAAGAGGAAACGTAAGCAGATAGACAGAAAAGAAAAGAAAAATCTTTAAATTAAGGTTACCAGTCTTTCTACGATTAATGTTTACATGCATTTTCAGACTGCAAAGCAGTGGGTCTAAAAGGAAACATAAATTGTAGCTTACACCAATAAGTAGTGCTGCTGCATAAAAG